GCAGGTGTTAGCCAAAATATGGTAGGGTTAGCGAATGTTTGGTGGATGTTTGCCAAAATATGTTGGGGGTTAGCCAAAGTATGGAAGGTGTTAGCTAAAATATGGTGGGGGTTAGTGAATGCTTGGCGGGTATTAGCCAAAATATGTTGCAGTTAACCAAAATACAGTATGGTGGGGGTTAGTGAATGTTTGGCAGGTGTTAGCCAAAATATGTCACATTTAGCCAAAACATGGTGGGTGTTAGCGAATGTTTGGTCCATTGCCGGTTAGCCAAAGTATGGCGAGTGATAGCCAAAATATGGTGGGGGTTAGTGAATGTTTGATGGAGGTTCGCCAAAGTATGTCGCAGGTTAGCCAAAGCATTACAGGTGTTAGCCAAAATATGACAAGGGTTAGCCATCGTATGGTGGGTGATAGCCAAATTGTCGGCGGTTAGCTAATGTGTGAAGGGGGTTAGCCAAACTATGACAACGTTAGCTAAAGTATGGCACCATGTACAGACGCAGCGGCACAGAGCTCTTGTTTGTGGTTTGTGTTTTTCGTTGTTGGTTATTTTTATAAGAACTACAGCTTTATTGTAAAAATGATTGTGTTTTAAATAAAATTTAGCAACAATTGCTGTGTCAATGTGGGTTGTTACAGCAACCACTCTACCACCATGTGGCATCAGTGTGTTTTTAAGACCTTTTTGGAGACAATGAAATAGAAACTGTATCTATATTCACTTGAATATGATCTTAGATATTTGTTTTGGTTTTTTATCAGAATTGTGGCACCAGGACATGTTCAAATGATTTTAGGTCATTTCTAACAAACATCTTTACAGTTTGCTGTAAAGATGCTGACACGTGACAGGCCAATACGTGCAGGGTTGTGAGTCTAAACTAGAAAACAAACACCGTCAGTGGGACATGGATCTCAGGACTAGTCGCACTTCCTCTCTACACTTTACATATATAAACTGCCTATAAACATTGAGTCGCTGAAGAACCTGTGATATGTTTGGTATTCAATGGTGGAATGTGTCTCCACCCACACATGGATGATGAAAATAGCTCAAACATGCAATACACTTTCAGAGATGAAAGAGAGATGCACAAACTCATCCTCTCATGTGATTAGATATTTAATCTTCACTATGTGTCATTGTTTTAATGGATAAGTTAAAACACATTTAATGGGATTTTAAATCAGTTAACTCAACAAATCAAATCAATAGGAACTAAGAACCAGGGGAACAAGTTACACATTTGTCCATCTACCACTGACGCAAAGAGACATACAGCAGTCACAGATATGAAAATCAAAGGTTTGGGTGTCATTACAAATTGTGGTTGCATGGTACACTGGTTAGTGCTCTTGCCTTAGAGCAAAAATGTCAATGGTTCACTTACCAATGCTCACCGATGATCTGATAATTGTTCACTCCAAACTAACCGCAGGTGTGAATGTGAGTGTGAATGTTTATTGTTGTCTCTCTGAGGGATCTTGTGACAGTCTGGTAAACTGTTTAGGATGTTATTTCGCCCTCGCCTGGAGACTGCTGGGATTGGCTCCAGCTGTCCCCTTGATGCTACTGGTCAAAAATGTTTATGTACATACTGTATATATAGACCTAAGGGGGAGTAATACAATTTAAGGCCAGGTGCCATTATAACCAAAGAAAGAAGAAGTGAGGCGTTAGAGAAACAGTAGGTTTGACTCTCAAGAAAATAGACATTTGAGTTCCGTTTAACAATAAGTTAAGGCAAGAATGTGGTTACAAAATAATGTTTACAAAATAGAGCATAATTTAGGTTTTTTTCACAACAATGTTGGTGATGTCATCAGTGTGTACTCAGCACTACAGCATCAAATAATTAAAATGAACCTACTCCGCTGATTTTCTCTTTGGGGTTTTGAAGGCAACTCCACATTCTTTGAATTGTATTACTGCCACCTAGGGGTTCTATTATCTACTAGTGAACATTTTCGCACAGAACAGTGGCACTAGGTTGCAAAACAGGAAAACCAAGAGAAAAATAAACAAGGGGTAGCATGGGGTGGGCGACTTATTTTATAAAAGTAAATGTTTTTCAGAATTCATTAAAGACCATACAATTAGGTTACGCCTGTATATATTTTTTTAAGAGAGAGAGAGCTGAGTGGGGGCTCTAGCCACAGCGTGACCTATATATATTATTACATCACCCCCGGAGTGTCAGTTTAAAGTGTTAATCTCGATATTAACGGTTTCAATGTGCAGGTAAGGGCACGTATAATCCAAATTAAAGCCGTGTTGTCCTTGGTGAATTTGTCTTTCTTTGTGGGACATGTCGACAAGCAGAGACAGGTGAATAGAACTGAAAGACCACGTCACACAGGTAATGTCTCACCTGAGAGACATGTCCACAGACAGGTGAGGGAAATCAGCCTGAAGTAAACACTCCTCCTTCGGCCTCTGTTGTTGTCCACTGCTATCTCCTCTGTGGCTCCGCCGGTTGAACACCTCGTCATACACCGGGCACAAGCTCCGTACGAACCGGAAAACGCGACTCTACTTAGGCGACGTTAATATGTGTGTTCCCGTGACTCCGTCCCGGTTCCCGGATACTTCCTGACTGCTGACGGTGTTGATAACAGGCGCAGGTGACGGGTGTCAGCTTCAGCTCACAGCCGCCATGTTGGAGAGGGCAGCTGTCAACTCTGTGCTTCCTTCAAGGAAGCTCGGAAAAAATAGCATATTTTGGGTTTAGTAGTGTAAATGTATTATGCATTAGGTATTTATTTATCATTTTTTCCTATTCGGTTAAGCTTTTAGTATTTATTTAATTGACAATATTATGTACAAGGTATGAATATTCAACCTTTAACGTAACATGTTAAAAAATGATGATGAATTAATGGTTACGCTGGTCCGTACTATATGTAGATATTTGAGGAGGGCGCCACTTAACGGGAGTAAAACGTTCCTACATGATGAATGAGAAAAACAAAAACGAGTCTAATCGAACCATTAGTCAATGTTTCATTCGTATTCACTGAAATGTGATTTTTAGTTTTTGACTTTAAAAGTTAAGGGACTTTTGATTAAAAGTTCCAATTCCTCGTTGACTCACAAAGTCTCCTTTATAATAAAAGGACAGAAAAATGTCTTTTATCACACGTCACCATTGCCTCGATTCGAACTGTTTTATGCGCGTTCCTTATAAACACGATAGTGTTTGCTTTTTATTCATATGTTATATTCTTATTAATCCGTTTCATTAATTTTATTTTTGTTATTTTTATTTATTTTTAACCTGTTTTTTAACCTGCTTGTATTCATAAAACCTTTTGTTGTTTGTTTGTAAAACGTTTTGTTTTGTGCTAGTGATTTGTTTAAGTAACTGTAAAGGACCTTGTTGTATGCCAGTTTCATTAAATTTTATTCAGTTTGACGATGTTCATGTCGTTTTTAAAAATGTATAATGTGTTTTAGTTCAGTTTAGTTACTGCATTGATATCGGTTGATGATTCTTTGGGTTAATTGCTTTTGATCTAAATATATATAAAATATTCTGCTTATATGTTCTCTTATAAGCTAAGATCATCAGTGTTTGGTTAAGTCTATTGCACTGATAAATACATTTGATCTAATTTACAGAAACACAACAACTGAAAACACAGCCAGAGACACTTGAGTCTTTAAACATTAGCTGATATGTATATGCTTGTAAGGAGTGGAAACTGGTCAGCTGATTGATTGGTTTTTTTAGACTCTGACATAACTGATCAGCTGTATAACTGTGGGACAGTACAGACCAGAGTCCAACAGACAGTAAAAGATGAACACCATTCACTACAGCCAGATAAGGACTGAACAGATTAGGGCCAAGCTAGGTCACATGATCTTCCAGATTCACTGCGTCAGCAAATCCCTTTACAACGCTGTGTCAAAGGAAAGTGTGGAGAACTGAGCTGGGACAGAATCATGACAAGATTTGTACTTCATCTGTAGCAGTGATTGGCCACAGAGGTGATTCAATGATTTGGAAGAATGGGCTGAACGTCAGTAGAGATTACATTTGTGCATTATATACTCATCTATAATACATCAGTAAACAGTTGTAAACAGTTTGTCATACTGTATTTTTTTTTATAAAAGTTATATTTTCTCTAGATTATAGGCAAATATTTGACACTGCAGAAATATTTAAGCGGTAATAAGAAATAGACCACGCCCTCTTGTGGTAAACTTTAAATATTTTAATACTCATTAATAGAGGGAAAAACTGTTAGGCAGCAAAACAATTCTTTTTTTTCCATTGTACCACAGTATGTAATTTACTTTTTTCATTATTTATTATAAATTTAAACAAAACTAAATTAGCAGCATGATGAGATTAGTTCCATCATAAGGTCACATTGTGCTTCTTCTGGCTCAGCTAAAAGACTGGATTTTGTATCTCAGTCTTTGCTCCCACTTCTTGCACCAGTCTGGGCTCCGCTCCAGGTTCTCATAACGGCTCTTTAACTTGTCCAACATCCTCACCGTCTCAGGCAGGTCGATAGTCAGCCCCGCTCTGTTCATCGCCCCCTGAAACTTAACTGGTGACGCAGTCGCAACGTAGCACCTGGAACGACAAAAAAAAAAAAAAAAAAGTGAGAAACTGTCTAAGATCCTAAGTCTCTTCGATACAGTCACTGTAATGTGTTGGTGGTTGTACCTGTTGAGTGCAGGGCTGTGTGGACAGTTGTAGTGATGCCACACCGCCACGGCAGAGTGAGGACACAACAGGTATCTGTTCTCCTCCCAGCATCTCCTCATGGTCTCCAGGATCCCTTCATCTGAGACGCTTCCAGATGATAAAACCTCACACAGCTGAACATTTCAACAGATTGGCAGAGACAGGAGTTGTAAAGAGTGACCTGACTGAACATCAGAACCCCACGTTAACCCTCAGTGGACATCCAAAGTCCTGACCTCAAGGGCAACTGGACTGATTTTTCCAAAGACGTTTCACCTCTCATCCACGTCTTTGGAAAACATGTTCAGTTGCCCTTGATTTGACTCTGACATCTTTGATAAGATGACCTGGATGACTACGAACTTACTTTGGATAAGATGACCTGGATGACTATGAACCTACACAGACCTACACAGTGGACAGTTACCTGCTTACGGAGGTTGTCGGGCAGAGTGTGTGCGTGTGTGAGCTGAAACTCTTCCATCATTTTCTTCACTAAGGCTCCATCTTTGTTGGACAGCAGCCAGAAGACTCGCTCCATATTGTATGGGTCCTGCGGCACAAAACAGTCCATCCGGGGGAGTGAGGCTGTTATTTTTACATCATAAATGGTCTATAACAGAGGTGCCCAACCTTATTTGTGCTACGGCCCAGTTTTATGGAAAACCTAGTCTATGCTCAAGACACACAAAGCACATCAAGCCTGGACTGAACCTGTTTTCTTATGTACGTAATTTGGTATGTTCTTGGAGATCTAGTAAATCCTTACATAAACAATTGAAAATGCACACCTGAAATTATGGAGGCAGTGTTATTCTGTATGGCTCTTTTTTCTGGTTGGTCTGAAACACTGGTG